AGATCGATGTGCATGATGTCAGTCACTAAATACTGTACCCAGACACTAAAATTTAGACATTTAGCTTAAATATTGCTGAGAGCGGTGTTTACCATAAAAACCAAACAAATTGTGTATCGCGAATTGTGATTATGCCAGCTGTACGGTGAGCATATCCTTACTCATCGGGTGGAAGCTGTCACAAACACTGGCAAAGGCCAATTCTGGCATATATTCTTCACATCTTCCCTTCGGAGACATAACTTTCCATTATAATTTTACCAAAACGTTCTAACACAAAGCAGTATGTTTATGACATGTCCTTCATTGTTTACGTCAAGTTTGACAATATGGATAATTTCAAATTAAATTTAAATAAATTCTTCGACAGCTCTGTAACAGTGTTATGTGACATGGTTTCCTCGGGAGTATTTTCAAACTGACGGCATTTCTATAAACACGCGCAATAACGTATCCATTAATTTCATTTTATATTTGAAGAATGTTGATGAAATGACATACAGGGTGTAATTGTACATAAATGCGACTGCGACACAAACCAGTACAAGTGGCATCGAATGTGAATTACTGGTTTAGATGTCCATGAGTACTCCCCAGTAATATGGTATGGACGGCTCTTATAGACGAGGTACTAATTTGTTAACAAGGTTCATTTAAAGTATTGAAATGACTAAATCACCGTGTGACAATTTTATGAAAAGGACTTTCAGTTCGAGTAATCAGTTCCATTTTGTTCCTAGTATAGTGTACTTTCGAAGCCTCTTTCGGCTTCTTTCTGAAATAACTGAAACTGTTTTAGCTGTTTTCTGAAGCTGGTGCTTTTTCTCGAAATGAGTTCTGTCACAAACAATGCTACGTGTAAAATAATTGGAGACAAGTTTGACATGTTTTGTTTTTTCTCTTCACGAAAACTATCGATTATTTGCCAATTTGAGTATAAAGGCCGCCTATACAATTAGCAATGTCAGTGTTTATCACTCGTGGTAGGTTGGAACTGATTCGAGATGCAATCTGTATGTAATGTATGGTAATTTCAGCATTAAGAAGATGAATGTTTATTCAGTTGTCAAACTGAAACTATAAATACATGTTTCGATAAGTATATCAGCAATTTGCTGGAGAACTTAAATTAAGATAAAAGTACAAAATAGATTAACGTACAAACAATAGTTGTCACTTTTTACTCACATAATTCATGTAGTTTGCATGGATGTCACAATGTCGATATTGAAAGTTGAAAAATATCAACCAGTGATTTGGCAAAATAACCTCCTTTACAATAAGGTTCTGTGCTGAGGCAGTACCAGCGCAAGGTAAGTGTACAATTGTCAGGTGACTCTCCAAGACCAAATCACTCCAGAGTTTGTCTGTTCCAGGATCAAGTCACCCTTCAGAGATAACAATGTAAGTCCATCGGGGATTATTTTTTTGGATTTTGTTCCCCTTTAAAGTTGAGTTATAATATTTCCAAATAAAAATAGTGTATATTATGCATTTTTGAGTGTTTTGATCCTCAGGGGATTTGGTTTTATATTCTGCAGGCAGATTATTTAAGCAAGTAATTTCTCTCTGAAGTGGGTCAGTTCTAAGATCAGATCAGTCTGGGGTTATTCCTATCCTGGACAGGATCACTCTTGGGTGTAGTTTATAGGCAGTGAATTAATCCTGCCAGACTGGCACTCTACGCTGGTGATGCCAATTGTGTAAAGGAATGATGCTTATGGTAGAACAGTGTCATCATGGTTTTTGAGTGATCCATTCATATAGTTTTGCCGTTTTGCCTCTTGCGCCAAGCCGTTGGTTCAGACGGATGTTCCTTAGCATTGGTGTTTTGTGTTGTCCAATACGCCACAGTTGGCTACGATGAATAATAAGCCTTTGTCATCGGGCGTAGGCCTAGTGGTCAAAGCGTTCGCTCGTCACGCCGAACACCCGAATATCCTCGATTCCCCACACGGGTACAACTTGTGAAGCCCATTTCTGGTGTCCCCCGCCGTGATATTGCTGGAATATTACTAAAAGTGGTGTAAAACTAAATTCACTCACTCGGGTTCGGGTTGTCACAGCTGTTACATTTTTGGTACTTTACCTTCCACGACCAAAGGAAACTGTTTCGTCCTGTAATCAAGACTGAGTATTTCTGGTGTTAACGTTGTGCATTTACTTAATGAAAGTGCTTTCACTTACTAACCATTACAATTTGCAAGCGAGGTTCCTTGTGGTTTCTTAAAGGAATATGCTGTCACTTTTCACTGAAATCGGTGTTATTAATCTGCTGGCATTCTGCAGATCTTAAATAGTCAGTTTCAATAATCTGCCTATACAGTTTTAACACGATGTTCGTATGACAGTGGTTTCTACTGAAATGCAGTATTTGTCCATACAAACTATACTGAGTCAAAAAAGAAACTTTACAAAATGTAATTGAAAAATAATGAATAACGTTTCTCTGATGATACATCTATGTATCCGAAATGGGATCCTTATCCTTTCGACTCCAGAAAAACGTTAGCAAAACCCACTCAAACCCATCCATTCGTCGTGCAAATGACGTTAGTGCCAAATCAGGTTTTGCACGTGCAGTCGATCACGTGATCTTCGCATCGAAGTTTTCTACATATGCACGTGTTTGCATTGGCCTCAAGAATTGAAAAAACACTTTTAAACCACAGTTCTAACGGTACTTGAAATGCCACGATTGTCAAATGTGCAACGTGAACGTGCCGTTGGCATGTTGCAAGCGGGAAGATCAGTTATTGACGTCGCAAGAGCAATGGGATGCAGCCGTCGTACTGTGTATGACTGCGGTCGTCTACAACAAACTGGCACCACTTCTGATCGCCCAAGGTCGGGTCGTCCACGTGTGACGTCACGAGCAGAAGACCGTCAAATCGTCCTACGTCACCTACGTGACAGATTTCTGCCGGCTACACGAACCAGGGCTGAGATGTTTAGAGGTCGACTGTCCTCACAGACCATTCGAAATCGGTTGCGGGCTGCCAATCTCCATTCTCAACGTCCATATCGTGGGCCCATATTGACGCCGTTTCATCAACGTCAACGTCTGCTGTGGGCCCAACGTCACCTCCGATGGACCCAGAGAGACTGGAATCGAGTCGTCTTTAGCGATGAATCCAGGTTTACCCTCAGATTCGCGGACGGCAGGCATAGAGTCTGGAGACGACGTCGTGAACGGCATGCCCAGCATGATAATGCTCGGCCGCATACCGCGATGTTGACACGAAATTTCCTTCAAAACGCTGGAATCAACGTCATGGACTGCCCATCGAGGTCCCCTGACCTTAATCCAATAGAGCACGTTTGGGATGCACTTGGGAGAAGGCTTCGTGGTCTTAGGAACCAACCTCAGAATTTGCAGGAACTTGGCGCTGCCTTGCAAGAGCAATGGCGCAGAATCCCCAACTACGTGTTCACAAGCATCAGGCAGTCAATGAGGAGACGGTGTTTGGCAGTGGTGAATGCGCGGGGAGGCCATACACGATACTGAACTGAGAAATTTCGCATTTGTATTCTTGTGACTTGACATCCTGTATACCCATGTTTTGGAACGGCGGTGTAGCCTAATGGAACTGATTATGGCACTGTCAGTGTATGGAGTACATCACACAGATCTCAGCAATGAAATAATAACAATTTAACCATCTTACCATCTCTTGTTCTTTCATAGTGCCCTGAAGAAAGAATGTGAAGTTTCTTTTTTGACTCAGTATATTTTGGTGAGTGATATGTTGCACTTTTAGGTTTTTTCAGTTTAATGTACCCATTTTTGAACTCACTTTTAGCCTTTTCGTGACTTGAGTAGTAACAAAATTAGGAAACTGTAACATCAAAACCTCATTCAGAGATTTAACGAACACGCTGCATTGAAAACAACAGAAAATCGATTTTATCGTAAAATTAAATCACCAAATTATCTTTTCAGGCAGAATGCAGATTTAAAACAGCATATCTGTGACAGAGTAGCCTCAAAATGTTTTATTCACCTCGACAGAACAGTAGGAATCACATCTGTAGTTGGTCCCGAAGGGCTTCCGTAGATTCCTTTAGATACACAGAATTACCATTGACGTAACCTTGGCGTTACTTTGGAAGCTAAGAGACACTTAGTTACTGGAAAAATAATCAGTGTTCTCACATGAATATTCCTTTGTGTGCTCTGTTCTAGCGTTTGGCGTACATGTAACGGTGAAGTTGAACTGTTAGGCACATGCCAACTGACAATGTTTGTTAGAATAATGATGTCCGACTCTCCGATTAGATTTTATTCACCGCTTGAATGTCAACCAGAACCAATTTTCACGGACTGAAGTGAACGACCAAAATAGCCAAAAGGTTCAACAAAATTGACAACATCGAGGTTTCTTTTGAAATTTGGAAACCTTGATAAGTGACTCGTGCAGCTACGAGAGGGTGAAGGGTAAAACAAAGTCCGAACATTGCGAGAGTATTTCCAAGAGGTTTAATGAACCTTTTAACAATATTACAAATATATGACGTGTCAGAACTAAATCCGAGGAAAGTCATGAAGGTTTCTAAAATTCATCCATTTTCAGAAAGACATAAATGTGGTGCTGACAGACCTTGAACCATAATCGCTGCAAACATTTCAAATAGGAGGGAAATTTAATACATTTGTGCGTTCTGCCTTCTAAAAGATACAAGGAAGCCGCGGTGGCCAAGTGTTAAAGGGTGCATTATCTGTCCCTGAGTTATGTCCCTTAGGCACTTCCGGATCCTGCTAAAGTGGGGTCTAATCCCAAATTCGCCCATGTGTGTGACGTTCAATACAACAAGAATGTCCAAGTCTATTTGCATAGTTCCGTACTTTGGGCACCAAGAAACAAACCATCGTTATTTCAAATCCAGTTTCATGGTCGGTCTTACCCACTCTCGTGGGGTTTCAGGTCTGACATCTGTATCAGTTCTACATTCCTACCATATCAAGCTGGTCCGCCGTGATATAACCTTAAGAGCCTCGTTAAATCCCACTGTCTCACTCATCGTCAAAATGCAAACTTTCCTAAATAGAAACGGAAACAGTGATTTAAAGATATCCACTTCACCAACACACTATGGCAACCTTTGCGATAGACAAAAACCATAACTTAGTGCATCAGAACTTGAAGAACATGTTCGTGTTTGGTGGCCTACAAGTGCGCTCCGTGTCAGTATCCAATAACTAAATGAGAAAAGTAATCAGTTAAACATAGGCAGGGAACCTGCAGCAGTTAGCTAACCTTCATTACTGTCCCCATCTGATCAGTTGATTATTCATTAACGTTTAAACAAGGTGCCAACCTTTTCTTCAATTAAAATCTCCAAAAGAAATGTGGATTTTCCTCAACGCCTGACCACCACCATGACTGAATAGTTCATGAGATACTGGGCGCAGCCAAGACCGACCAGTTTCTTTTGCAGATAGTTTTCTGAAGTGACAATGCTCAAGAAATACATCATCGTGAAAAAAGATCTGTCTGACTCTTGGCGAAATTCTAAGAATGATAAGCTACAACCTTTTCTTCATCTACCAAACCTTCAGGCAAGTAGAGAGAAAAAATCACATAAAACTCTCTTTGCAATTTGAAGATAAAAACATCGCCGCCGCTGAAGAAGAGGTTCTAAGTCTGTGCTCTATTACGGATTGGTTTTGAAGTAGGTTGTATTACTGTAGGCAAAAGAAATGAAAAGAATAATGTTTTCTTAAAAGGTCAAAAGAAGAGTGTTGTATGGTTAAAGCTTTTATGAATATTGTAGGCTTGATTGTTACTGTGAAAGGCATTAGCTTTTGTTAGTTTAATGTTGTTTAACGCCGCAAGATCAGTGACCACTCCATCCTGCTAGTTTCCTCTAACGACAAGCATGGGTGTTCAATTAACCTTTAAGTACAAACAAAATATACCTAGTATAGGAATGTAGACATTACAAAATGACACCGGCTTGCTGAGTAGAACGACAAAACCCTTTCCACACCCGTCAGAAATCAGAGTCGATTGTACACTTCTGACCATAGGAGCATGTGTTTGTCTGGCGCCACGTTCAGAAGTATTACAGGTGAAGATGAAATAGGGAATTCAATCAGACATTTTGTCGCTGATACATCACGTGAAATATCCTACACATGTCTATCTTAAAACGTTTTGAAAGTTTTACTGAGGCCTTCAGTGTTGTAACTCAATGTTAATACTAACAGACAAATCACAAAACAAGTTGAAACACAATATCATTTCTTCTACGGCATTATCTACAGGGCAAAACACGTGACTTATTCGGTTAGTGCATTCATGGAATCGATACCAGATTGCCACATTAACAGCTCTGACAATTCCTGCGTTGAGGCCAATTATGACAAAACCGTAAGAAATTTGACTCTTGATAACATTGCTGTTCTGCCGTCTGTTACTTCAGATCTCTCCCCATAAAACACGGAACATCTGGGAAGAACACCTGACAACTACCTGTAACAGGACGAGAATCAAATGGTACGATTAGTTCAGTTGAGTCAATTTTTTTATTGATATTTAGAACAACGTCAGCGGGCTGTTTCCAATTGAATTGAAGAATGTTTTATAGTGCGTCAAATGTTGTTTTAGGTTATTTGTCTTCAAAAATGTTGATTAAATCAGATTGGGCGTAAAGGAACAGTTTTACCAAGAAATTGGAAAACTGGGTAAAAAGCACGAATAAAGCTTCTCACTCTGCTGGTGTTTCTGCAAAGCCAAATTTTGATAAATAAAACAAGTTTCAGATAATTTACAAGCGGTTTGTTTTAAGCATGTTCAAATTAGCCTAAGCCTCTTTTCGGCACCTGAATACCACACGCTATTATTCCAGCGTGGTGCCCCAAACCCAAGGCATTATGAAATATCAAACCAAGGCATGGACTTAGATTTTGTTGACTCAATCCTTGACTTGAGCGAGGATGCGAATTTGTTTACAGCCGCCATAAAACGAAGAAATTGTGTTCCCAGCTTGCCGTGTTGCAAACACTGCAGCTCTTTTTCAGGACACTGCGCTCCAGTAAATTTAGATTATATGCAGTTTATGAAGACAGCTAGCTTTACGTCCCTCCGAAGACAGTTTTACTTGCAATTCCAGATTGGGGAGAATTTTTCCAAAGGTGCACCACGAGATATAAAACCTTAATAACAAACTCTGTATGTCTTGCGTGCACTTCTTTAATAGACTTAAAGTAATGAAAATTAGCGTACCAAATGGAATCATGGTGGGCCAGCGCTGGAGCTTGTCAGACATTCAGTCGATGACATCCAAAGAAGTATTGGCATATCCCAAAACAAGACAACAGTATTATGTTGCTGATTACAGATGATGTGGCATTGGTACTAACAATGTTTAGCTGAACTGACTTGAGGATGGTCCGAAGATTGGGTAAGAAAGTAACGCTGCATATTCCATTGAGCCGAAAGGGCCCCAAGTCGAAATCAATGATGACACCGGGTGCTCAAAATGTGTCAGCATGTCCTGACCTGTCGGGAAACCCCTCCACATACGATCTGTATAAACCCTTGTGTTTGCTGACCGACAGCACACAGAGTGATTGACATTGATTCTAACTCTAGAAGTAGTTACCGTTGTCCTGGTAGAATCTTTGGAAAAGAGAATCTGATCAGTGGTCATGTTTGTAGTATGACATTGTTGACAATAATCCGAAATGATGACCATTCTTTTAGCACCACAATATCAACTGTGGGTGTGAGCATCATTGCTTTTCAATGAAATGGTTTAATGTGTCGGGATAGCAACATATAAACTGCCATGGTGGAGCAGGGTATATGTGTATATGTATCCGTGTATTCTTTGCTAACACTTCCCAATATTATCACCAATGATCTTGTTGGTATTGTCGCAGCTGTTGTTGTTTGTGTCAGTGGTGGTCTTAAACTCAATTACAGTTGTCTTGGACCTCGTGGACATTCTTGGCCATACCAGCTCCAAACACATCTGGTCAACTTTTTTTGTCATATGGTAACAATGTGTTTCACGGCTATGCTTGAGGATCTTCAAATCACATTGATCAGTTCTCATGCTGGAAACCAATTGCTTGCCTCGACTCTTTACAGGTCGCCACTGTAAACAGAAGCGAGAAAAGCCTTTCCACTCCCACAAGAAAGTCGATTTAACAACTTCAGCGAAATTTAAGCATTTGTTTACGAAACACTACCAAACAGTGAGGATACCACGTTTTCGAAAAAAAAGGTGATGGTACCCAGCACAGTCATAAAGATATGCCAAGGCTAGTCCTTTGTGCACCTGAAATAAATCAGTACAAGTCAAAATAGGGAATTGCATCGGACATCATCGTTTTGGTCACTCATGCGAACAGAGGCTTTGAATGTTGTAACATTGATCGAACTCTAAAGGCGGGAGCAGTTGGGATATTGATCGGCATAATGGGAAAGGTAACTATTGGAAATTCTTGTCACTCTTTGTGCATACATCTACACAAGTAGCATACGAGGCAGTTTCACTGGTCTAGATCCTTACGTCTTGTCTAAATGTTTTACCCCAATTTGTACGAAGATGTAGTTAATGAAGAAGTCCAGCATTTCACATTTCACGTCAAATGATATTTGGTTTCATACTTTACAGATTGTCCTGAATCTATGAAAATAGATATGTTGATGTATCTTTACTGAGCACGTGTTCTAAATAATGTCCCACAGGTAATAATGATTTTTTTCTTTCATTTTTACAAGTGGGATAGTGGTGTACAAAGTGGAAAAAGCACATATTTTGACAGAACTGAACTCTGTCTATCTTTATTGAGATTGAGGTCCTTGGAGATTTTGAGAATCAACATGGTATCAATTTACTTGTCTCCAAACAACTACTTATACTAACACTGGCTTTCGTAGTTTCTCTTGGGCTTAAAACTACATTCAACCAATCACAAGACCAATTATAGCCAGCAGTTTTATGTAAGTATTGCTTGTCATTTCTCTTTCCGTGTATACCATAAGTGTAATAATTAAAATGCTTCATTGACAAATATCTCATTAATATTGTCAGAATGAAATACATTCCAGAACGACACAGCTCAGTTTTCCTGATATTTGTGTTATCTTGAAAAGTCATCCCGTTGCTCACGATTGCAACAAATTTGTACCTGAACACATATTCTGGTGTTCACTGCAAATGATTTATCGAACTTGTGCGAAAACTCATTATTTAGAAACATGACTGGGTTCGGGAAAAACTGTAAAAATAATTTTAGTTCACTTTTGAGTAAAATAAATAACTATACATAAGAAACCAAGGACTGTTTATGCAATATGGACGCAAAGGAACCAGCGAGAATACAATTTCTCAGTAGCGTAACTCCCAGAACCCATCAAATAAAATGGGTAATCTCCAATGGCTAATGACTTATCCGCTTTGTGGCACAATCGTGTGGCCTTACCTACGAGGGAGAGAGCTGTTTGGCCGCACCCTATGAGATTAACAAATGCAGCTAGAGAAGCCAAGTCGACAAACAAATATCAGGTGAAGGGATCAAGGATTTGCTGCTCGCTTAAATTCCGTGGGGAACTTGCGCTAGCGTGGACCTGTAAACTAACACCGTATTAAAATTTTACATTAGAACTCGTGACCAATCAATACATCAATCACTTTCTCACGAAACTAAGTAAGTGTCGGCCTCGAAGAACTTTCCCATCTAGGATTAATACCACACGTTATTCTTGGATTGGTGAGAGGCAGACAAGGCCTGTTGACGACACCACATCTAACGGACATACATGATTGTACGTGTATATTAGAAATCTCAGTCTGTTCCAGACATTGCTAGAGGCGTGATTCCTGTTAAACGTCTACCCTGTTTGCAGTATAATGTAGTGGGTTGATGAAAACGTCACTGGAACAGCTCGGTAATCCATTATTGAAAGCGCGCTCTCACCTTAGTATACAATTTTTGCAGAAGTCAATATCTATTTACAGCTAGTCAGTGTCCTTCTTAATAAGACAGGTATTTGACTGGTTTCCAAATGTACAGCTGATTTCATTCGGTATGTAAATGGCTGTAGATACAGTATTTGATGTAACAAGGACAATTTCGTTGCTCGTGTCATAGTAATATAAAACACTGCCAGGCAAATGAACGAATACATTTGAAAAATGAATATGGCTATAAAACTGTGTGCATGTCAAAATGATACTTGGTTGAAAACAGTCGCTGAAACATTGCAAACCTAAGATCCAAAACACAACATTGACACCCAGATGTTTCAAATACCTTTCATTTTTCTTCTGTCCGGAAGTAAAATCTAAATAGGAAGTAAAAGTAATCAGTTGACTTTTACATCGCTTCTCATTAAGTATAACACAAACATGTACACAGTGATCAGAATATCTGTCAGTTCTCAGGGACGTAACTCAAAAGTAGTTGTCTCCCTTGACTAGCTATCAAACAGTTATCTTCCTTGACCATATACTGTCTGTTTTAGTCAAATATAACTATGTGTAACGTGGTAACTATTCTGTATCAGAAAACAAGAATGAAATGTAAAGATCAGAATTATCATAGCTCATCAATAATTCTATATATTCCTTAAAAGACACTGAACAGTAAATATTTCAACTTTCGAATTTTGGGAAGGGAAAAGGAAAAAGATAAAACGCAAAGTAAATGTAGGACAGCCCAGTGGCAAGAAAGAAACTGTATTTATATGCGCTAATGTTATTTATGCCGAAAACATCAGTTAAATAGAAGATGTCTTCCCACAATACTGTGCCAATGAATACAGTTTCTGTCTTCAAAGAAAATTAATATGCCTCGTTACTGGACAAACCGAATTGCGTTAAACATTTATATTTCTGTGATATGCCGATGGGAGAATTAAAACAAGAAATGTAGCTTTGAACTTTAGCGAAAACGATAGGAACTGCTAAGAAAATTAGCCTAAACTTCACACAGACAATTAAGGCTGTCGGTCTGTCGAAGCTCCTGACAGCCCCCTCCAGCTACTGTCTTCCGCAGCAGTGCCATCATTACTCAGACACCTAACCAATTCAACAGCCGTGTTCTAGGACCTCCGTGACACAGTTATAAATGATAGGTCTACAAATGTCAGCAACCTACAAGTGACATCATCTTAATTATTAATAATAATGACAGCTTGATAATGACGACACTGTTTGTATAGGACAAAACGACGATGGCGAAACAATCTGTAGATAAAGATGACTTAGAATAATAAATATATGAGAAGAAGATGAAAACGAAGAGGTAAAAGATGAACGTAAATCTGAACACTAGATTAAGCAATGATTTCACTGAGACTGCCCAACACATTGTCAGTGGATACCAAGTGTAGGTCGATCCTGTTATTTGGACCGTCTTCGCTATACTTGTTGGTTTGACTTACAGGTCCATCCATCGTGTGACCAGGAATATGTAGAGGTCGTCATGGAAAAAGTTCATTATGCAATTCTATATACGGCCAACAAACCGATTTGACGGGATTTCCATTCGCCAAGTAGCAAGTTATCCTGCTCCCCATTATTCTTGCTACCTTTAGTTTCGTACCTCCTCATCTTTTGACTGACACTGGAAGTATCCCTGGGCTTGCTACGTGGAACAGTTCTTCTGACACTCAGAAGTCTGCCTCGTTGGTGATTCCTCACACTCTCTGGAACGTTCTTGTTGGGTTCTACTCTGTGTTGGAGGCGTGTAGAGGGGTGCAAGCTCCCTGAGCTGATGATGAACCTATCCTGATATACTACCCTCACTCAATTTTCTGCTCATCTGTAAAAAAACATCTTAGTTTTGGAGCATAACGGAATCAGCATTATTTCATTAAATCATGTCGTTCATCAATGAGGCTAAACAGATAATCAAACCACTGTACCAAATCCACCCAAGTATTGAGGTAGCCCAACGAGTAACATTCTGGTTACACACCACAGTTACGGATGCGTGTGCGCTAATTGTAAAACACTTGATAACTGTACCATGATACAATAACAGTACCACAATACGGTAACACAAGTGATAACTGTACCAGAATACAATAACAGTAACACAATACGATAACCCAAAGTGATAAGTGTACCATGATACAATAACAGTAACACAATACGATAACACAAAGTGATAACTGTACCAGAATACAATAACAGTAACACAATACGATAACACAAAGTAATAACTGTACCAGAATACATTAACAGTACTACAATACGATAACACAAAGTGATAACTGTACCAGGATACAATAACAGTAACACAATACGATAACACAAAGTGATAACTGCAGCTCGATAAAGTCATGTCATGATACATTAACTACAGTGATGTGGTGGAATGGGTTGTTCTTTGACGTAATGATTGTCCTTGACTTTGTATGTACACGTTCATTTTATGCTTCGTCCTTAAGTGTGTCTCTTATTCGAGAGTCGGTTCATTTCCAGAAACATATTTTCTCTCAGACAGATATTGTTGAGTGCTTATGTTTTCATTTGCACTCTGTAACCTTGAAAAACAAAACATGTTTTCACTTGTCTTTTATGTCATTATCATTAGGTAATCTGTATTTGATATGATTTTTGTATCGTCTTTGGAGTAAATGACGATTTGGCACCTAACACGTCTCTTAAACATTAATGAGGCATAATATTGACGTGTGCTTCCATGGGTTGCCAAAGGGTTACCTAGATACAATTCATTTTAATCAGCTCTGCGAAAGATTAGAAAAACGAAGACCGTTTGGGGGATTAAAGTCAACGATCAAACAAGGGTTGCATGTTCTTGAAAGAAGGCGGTTTTATGGCAGCTCATCAAAGTAGTTCGTGCGGTGAGGACTTGAAGAATATTTTAAATATGGTAACTCTTTACTGTATTTATGTCTCAAAACGTGGCACGTGACACAGTATGGCGGAGACACCATATTCAATGTACGAATACGATGATTACAACAATACACAAGTTCATAAAAAACTCCACACCAAAAACGTTGTTGAAGCAACAGATAAAAACTCAAAAGCATTATAACGCAACCACGTGTATAAATTATCGACTAAATGCAGCATCGTCCAAACATTTACAACAGTGTCCCTTGGCTGTGCCAGAGGCATGTCATCTCAGTTTCGACAAGATGAATCGCTCTGATTTTGGTTCATGGTTTGTCAGCTCAAGCCCGTTTCAAAGCTGAGGAGCTGACGAGCTGACTCGAGTCGATATATATTAGACATATTGTTAAAAGCAGCAATAAAACTCACACATTTCAAGAAACGAATACAGAACTCAAGTAAGTAATAAGTGATTTTTCTTTGCCACAGCGTGTTCAAATATACTTCTAATTTTTGTATTATATTTTGCTCGTACTCTCAGCCACACGTAGCTCGATTTTGATGTTACGTGAACAGGTAGAAATCAAATGTCCCCGGTGATCAATGTGGTACAGTCCGAAAATTAGACTCTAGCCCGGGGGGATGCTACTGTTATCAATGTCATGCGACTCAACTGTCATGTTGCCACTCTTGGTGGAAGAGCTGACATCGTTGTATCTGATGAATACTATCCATTATGATAGACACTGTTTTTAGCTTCCTTAGAAAATGTTCTCTGTGATGAATCCTTTCAACTACAATTAGCATTGTCATACCAGAAGCTTATACGACTTAAAATCCGGAACAGACCTAAAGTAACCTTAAATATTGTCTTTAACTGTGAAGCACACTGTGGAGTTCCATTGACTTGTTTTCATTTAGGTAGGTTATTTCCAGGAGGAACGTCAACAATATTGTTATTCGGAACAGTCCCTAGCTCTACCCTTTCAAACAAGGAGATTTGTCTTTCATTATTGGGAAAGTACATCTCTGTTTAAGATTGCATCACACTGGACTTTGCATTCCATGTCATAACAAACGCAGAATTGAGTGCACTGCTCAAAGGGGCATTAAAGTCACCCAATCATTTATTGTACAAAGACAATATTTGACAAAAGACAGCTGGACTGGCCAAGAACCGTACACGACAAATATTTATACAGGTAATAATTGATTCACAATTTGTAGACTTCAAGATATTATCCCCTCTAAAGAAATACAAAATATTAATAACAGCAACCCACACTTAGGGTACAGGAAGGCACCTAACTCTTCCCATGCTTGTTTAATGCATTTTAGTAATTATCGGGTGTTACCTCGCATTCGTGATACAGTTGGAATATTGATTGATACGTAAAACAACATTCTCTCTCACACACGCTAATGGTCAACTGTCCCGGTCCATATTTCAACACATTTGAATATCACAACTGTTCTGCAGGAGCATATACCATCTTACGCAGGTAACCTGTCAGTGATTTAAACATCTGTGGTAATCATTCGAACCACAAGGGACAAAGGCGACATACTATATCATAACGATTTGTGCATGAATCAAACAACCCGTAATGTTCCGGGTTAGAGCTGGTCTGCTGCAACTCTTGCATGTAATAAGTGGCAACTAACGGGACTGGGTTGTCAGTCTAGGTAACGGGGCTGCTGCATGTCGTATCCCATTTGATCGATGTTCATTATGTCACTGAATTGTCCACCCCAGACGCTATTATTTACTGACCACCGTCATTTAGCTTGAATATTGCTGAGAGCGGCGTTAACCTTGAAACCCAAACAAACTGTGAATCACGAATAGTGATTTTGCCAGTTATAGGGTGAGTGTATCCTGGCTCATCAGGTGGTAGCCATTACAAACACCAGCAAAGCCAAAAGTAAAACTCATATATATTCTACATGTTGAATCATCCTCTTCTAATTTTGCATCCTGGGGAAAGGTAACAGTAATTTGCTGACGTATTCACAAAGATTAGTACCAGTGGCGTTATGATTGGTATATACTCATGAATATATCCTTCACGTTATCTTCATCTTGAAAAAGAGCTCTCCAAGGTTGGTAGACGTCCTGGCATATATGCTTCACATCATCTTCCCTTTGTAACCAAAACGTTCTAACACAAACCAGTATGTTTATGATATGTCACTCATTGTTTTAGTCAAGCTTGACAATATGGATCATTTCAAACTAAAATTATATCAAATCAATTCCTCGGCAGCTCTGTAGTGACGATTTAAGTGTAATGTCAAATGCCTTTCTCAGGAATATTTTCAAACTCACAACGTTTCTCGAAACACGTGTAATAACGTCTCCTTTAGTTTCATTTTATATTTGAAGAATGTTGATGTTGAAATAGCATACAGGGTGTAATTGTACATAAATGGGACTGCGACACAAACCAGTACAAGTGGCATCGAATGTAAGTTACTGGTTTAGAAGTCCACGTGTACTCCCCAGTAATATGGTATGGAGGGCTCTTATAGACGACGTACTAATTTGTCAACAAGGTTCATTTAAAGTATTGATTTGACTAAATCACCGTGTGACAGTTTTATGAAAAAGATTTTCAGGTGGAGTAATCAGTTCCATTTTGTCCTTAGTATAGTGTACTTTCGAAGCCTCTTTCTGCTTCTTTCTGGAATATCTGAAAATGTTGTAGCTGTGTTTTTCTGAAGCTAATGGGTTTTTTCTCAAAATGAGTTCTGTCACAAACAATGCTACGTGTAAAATAATTGGAGACAAGTTTGACATGTTTTGTTTTTTCTCTTCACGGGAACTATCGATTATTTGTCAATTTGAGTATAAAGGCCGCCTATACAATTTGCGATGTCAGTGTTTTTCATTCGTGGTAGGTTGGAATTGATTCGAGATGCAATTTGTATGTAACGTATGGTAATTTCAGCATTAAGAAGAAGAATGTTTATTCAGTTGTCAAACTTAAATTAAAAATACATGTTTCGATGAGTAAATTAGCAATTTGCTTGAGAACATAAAAGTAAGATTGTTTTAGTTTTAAGAACTAAAAAACGAAAAACGTCTTCCTGAGTACAAAATAGATTAAAGTAAAAACCAATAGTTGTCAAGTCACTTTTTGCTCATATATGTAGTTTGCATGAAAGTCACAATGTTGATTTTGAAAGTTGAAACATTTCAACCAGTGATTTGGCAAAACAATCTCCATTACCAATAAGGAGAGCAATGTTATTTCTTTCTTTTGTGCTGTATGTCAGAGAGGACAAAAAGGTAACTTCACTTAATGCAGTGTTCCAGTGAGTTTGGCGGCCAGCGCATGTCCCACATTATGCCATGATATAGCAATTCTCTTACAGCGACGTTAAATACAAGAAGAATATCCAAGTCGTTTTGCATAGGTCCGTACTTTGGGCACTGTGAAACACACCATTGTTATTTCACATCCAGTTTCTTGGCCAGTCTTACCCATGCTCGTGGGGTTTCAGGTCTGACATCTGTATCAGTTCGACTTTCCTCCCATGTTAAGCTGGTCCGGTGTGATGTAACGTTCAAAGCCTCGTGAAATCACACTGTCTCACTCATCGTCAAAATGCAAACTTTCCTAAATAGGAACGAAAAGGATGTTTACACGAAAATTCACATTTTTGTCTTGCACCCTTTTCATCATAAAAAGTGTTTGCCGAGTAGTTTTATAGCCAAACCCGTACATATATCAGAAGTAACTAATTTATTTTTTGCGTTATATCAGTTTATATTTTCCACATGTACCGAGAGTTCTATCTTCACAATAAACAACCCCTGGCTTATGTCCCTTGGAAAGGACGTCATTGTTGCCCAACAAATAAACGAATGACGTTGTTAGACCTTA